GGTGAGCGTCCAGAGCAGGCATTTGGACCCCCCTAACCATATCTACTTGGGGCCTGCTTACCAGCTGGGGGCTTTTCTCTCCCCTTTGTTAGAGTTAGAATCTCTGCCGAGGTTCAAACAGGACTAGAAAACATGACGGTCATAGAATGCCACTTCTCTCCATGGTTTTATGAGTGCAGCTCAGTGGCACATACATGCACCCGCCTCCATGAGGTGCTGGACGTGATCCCCTGCTCCAGAAGGAGGAAAACAAACGGCAGTGACACTCACAGCATGGAATGCAGCAGGTGTGGGAATGCAGACTGCTATACCCTCCACTCTCGCTGTGCCCCCTATTGTCGCAGCCCACAGTGCCCTTGGCTCACACTCTTCAGCAGGCTCAGGTTCACCCCTTCCCCAGCCACAGCTGTCTTTTGCAGCCAATCCACCTACTCGGTGAGGCAGAGTGTTCACAGGGACTCTGAATTGCGGTTCTCTGAGTTTTCTCCTCCCAAGAGCAGTCGAGTCCCTCCCAACAGGACCTTCTCAAGATGGCTCCTGGCCACAGCACTCTGGGAGCTTGCTGAGCTGGATATTGACTTTCTTCCCTAAAGCCGCCTTGCTCTGTGGGAGACCCTCTCAGGCTGAATTCCTGACCCGGACTCAGCACTGGCATGAACCGTGGATTCTTCCTGCCGTAGGGACGGCTGGTCTGTGGCTATCATCAGGGCTGGTTGCAAATTTCTGGGCATTACCCTTCTGATTCTCATGCAGCTTAGACTTACTGTCACTTCTCTGTTGGTCCTGAGTGTTGCCTCCCCCACTCTCCCCAGAATGTAGTTTCCCTGACTCTATATACTTACAAAGTCCCACTAAGGACAGTTCTCTTCTGCCACCTTGCTTCTCTCGGACTGTTCAGCCGTCTTCCAGGAGGGTGAAGGTGGCTTTCTGTGTGACTGGTGACTTTTGAGACATGCAGGGGTGTTGAATATAGGGGTGCACTCTCTGTGGCTACTCCTTGAGTCGTGTCAGCAATGTGTTGTCTGCAAGGGTTTGGGAGGGACCTGTGCTGAGGTCCCTGGTAGGTGCAGTGTCCATGACCATCGGATGGTCTGGCAGATGACAATGGATGTCTGTCCACATGAAGGAACCTTTATGAGCCACACCAAGGAATGAAGCTGCGGCCCAGGCTTCAGCTCAGACGAGCCTGGAGACCCGGTGGGCATGGAAGGAAGCCAGTCAGCAAGCCACACACTGCACGATCCCGTGTACGTGAAATGTGCAGAACAGAAATTCTGTAGGGGTGGCAAGTACATCCGTGGTTCCAGCTGGGGTGGTGCCGGGGTCCTGCCCTAGCGGGGTCCAGGGAGTCCTGAAGGATGAGTGGCGTTGGCAGAAAGATGAGACAGGAGTCGTTCCATTGGAGCAATCTTCAGAGAGAGAGCTAATGCAACTTTCTCTGGGTCATCATTTATTACAATTTTTCTCATCATTATAGATTCAGAATACGTCATTGATTATATAATTTAAAACTTTGCCAAGACATGACATTTCCTTAACCATGATTAGGGGTACAAAAAATGTAACATTAATTTACCTTTTTCCAGGATATGACCTTTAGTTATTTAATTATTAAAAGTACAGAATCATTAATAAACTATGTCACTAATTTACATTTTTCAGATTTTCCCAAGATTTACTATTTTCCCCAAGATATGCTATTTTCTTATTAACTAATGCCAAACTACGTAACCAGACTCTAAGTCTCCTAACCAATCATTAACCTTTAAGTTTAAAGTACACTTGTACTTTATTTCTAATCTAAAATTCCCATCTAAAAAAGTCCCCTTAAATCTTATACTTAAAACATCCTAAAGTTTATAAATCATTCTTAAAACATATCAGAAACCCATACAACTAAAAACTTAAGAATTTCTAAACTTAAGAATCTAAATAAAATAGTATTTCTAACATTATTCTAAAACTGTATCTTATAAAGCTATTTTAGTTAATTCCTAAATTTATTCTCATAAAACTGGTTGAGCTGCTTTCTCAATGAGTTTCTTTGTTTCTCAGTCAACCTGCACTAGTTCTCATATCCTTATAATCTTTCTCAATAGAAAGTAAGTTCTAAACATCAATCCACTTTCCACCAATATTAACTATGCTCATCATATATCCCTATGTAAAGTAAAAAAAGGGTTGATAAAAAGAGAAGAATATATCTTTATATGTTTTAACTTTCCTAAGTGTATAATATAACTTTCCTTAATCAAAAATGAGGCTGCATGTTGTGAACTTTGTAAAATAAGCACAATGATTAGGTTTTCTAAGAGGCCGGAAATACGGGCTTGGGTTCTAGTTGATATAATCGATGTGGTGCCTAAAATTCTCATGACCTTTCAAAGGATGATTGTTGTCCATTATCAGGTTTGTCCACAATTACTGAGATAGAAGAACAGCCTTCTACTTTGTCCTTGATATGCTGAGAGGTAGTAGAACAGCCTCCAAGGCATGAACTACCTGTTATGTTCTAGCCATCTGAAATTTATTTGTTTGGCATTTAGCATACTCATGCCTCCTGTCAGAAACATAAGCATGAAAATGAAAAGTCTCAATTACATAAAAAAGGGTCTCATGGTTTCAGTTTCCCACCAACCAGGGCGGCTTTGCAAGCATTCATCCTCACTGTGACCCTGTCAAGACAGTGAGTGGGGGAACACCTTCACCAGGGTGGGACTGGGAACCCAGTGCTGATGGGCTCAGGGACTGGGGTAGTGTTCTGAAGCTGGACTGGGCAGATGGTGCACAGCCCTGCAAAGGGACTCGGCCCACAGAGGGATCCGCGGGAGGTGGACGGGAGTGACGGGAGCCATCGTATGGGAGCAGAACTGCTCAGAGGAGGTGACCAGAGGGCCCCAGGAGTGAGTCTGCTCCTGAGAGAGGCAGAGGAAGAAGAGGGAACTTGAAAATAGCCCAGAACGAAGGCAGCCTGGTCTGAAGAATGGCCGCTGCTGGGCTGAGCCGAGTTCCAGCCCAAGTGCTGCACTGGGGTCACAGCTGAGCTTCCAGTTCTGGGGCACTTTCTCCTCAGGTGCCGTCTGCCCTTCCCCAGGCAAAACACAAGGAGAGCAAGGAGCCAGTCCCTGGGGCCTGCAGGAGGGAGGGTGGTGGCCTTGAGCTGCCCCCGGAAGTCCCTGGGTGGCCTGATCCCCTGTCTGGCAGCCAGTGCCGGGGGCTCTGAGCCAGCAGCTGCTCACCTGCCCACAGAGGGCCCAGCCCGCGGGACAGACAGGCACGTGGCCCTGCAGGGTACAGAGAGCCAGGAGCTGCCTGAGCCCACTTCCCTGAGAAGGGCCCAGCTGGCCAGAGCCAGCGTGACGCAGATCCCGAGGCCGGGCCTTCACGGGTCCAGAGCGCCACACAATTGTTTGGGGGCGAGGACTCACGCGGGCGAGATAAGCGCGCTCTGTCCGTGGTGTTTGAAAGGTCAGTTGCTACAGTTTTCAGGACACATCCTGTCGCCCTTCCAGGTCCCTGTTCCTCCTGGCTGGAAATCAGCAGTGGTGCTGCCTCGGAGGCTGGCGGGGGGGCCCTCCGAGCCCCACATCTCCCCTGGCTTCTCCCTGCCCAGAGACAGCCGCATCGCTCCGTCCCTTGTCCACAGACAGCGCCCCAGCACCACAGGGGCTCTGTGCTCTCCCCGCGCTGGAGTCAAGCTGGCCGTGCAGCGGTCCGGGCTGGAGTGCAGGGTCAGGCAGGCTGTGAGGTCACGCAGGACCTGGGCGCTTCCTGTCTCTGCTCGGGGTCCTCCGAGGGGCTCTTCCCCAGAGAGCCGCTGCTGTGGTTCTCAGAGGTGCTGTGCCTGGCTCTTCTCTGCCTGCCCCCTCTGAGCCCACCAGACGCCGACCCCTCCCCTCGGGGGACCAGCCCTCTGGACCGGGGGTGTGGAGGAGCCCGTGGGGATGCCTCGTGGCCTGGAGGTGAGGCTGGCAAAGCTTCCCCAGAGGCCACTTCCACATGCAGCAACCTGGCTCGGGAGGACACTGGGCCAGGAGCCTGCAGGCACGTTCCTGCCTGTGTGACGGCCACACAGGTCAGCTCTCACTCAAAGCATCGCTGTTCGGATAGGCCAGGGCCTTGGGGGGAACGGAGAAGAGGGAGCCTGAGTGCAAACACAGCCGTGCCCCGGACGCAGCCCCTCTGCACACAAGGGCGTCCGGCCTCCAGGTGCACCCGGGCTTCGTGGCCAAGGCAGGTCGGCTCCCCTCAGCCTCCTGTGACTCCTGGGTACATCCGTCCAGCCAGCTTTGCCAGCCCAGGCCTGGATGGACGAGGAGCCCGGTGGTGGGGACGCCAGACCTGAGCTGTCCACATGGCTGTCGCTCCACAGGGAGGCACCAGGACCAGTGATAGGGACATGCCAGACAGATGTGACAGGCCAGACCCAAGAGGCCCCTCTGGGCTGGATGGTGACACCGTATCACTCCTTCCCTTGTCCAAGGCACAGCTGCCCCCAGCACCACGTGGGGCTCTGTGCTCTCCCCACGCTGTGCGTCAAGCTGGCTCCCCCCTTCCTGGCCTGGGAGGCGACTGTGCTGGGCTCTGGAGGGCCCCAGAGGAGGGGAGCATAATGGAGAGACCCGCGGGGCCCGGCAGGCCTAACTGCACCAACCCAGGCCGCTCCTGGAGCCCTCTGCGGTCACTCGGGGAACAGGACGCTCAGTGGGGACAGGACACCGACTGGACGGTGAAGCTGGAACCTCGATGGACCTTGGAAAACGAGCCCCGGGTTGGCAGAGGGCTGTGCTCACGCCAGCTCCACTTGGCCCCTTGCCTGGCTCGCCTGGGAGGTGGCGGGATGGACACGGGCAAGAGCCCTGGATGTCCACCC